CTGATGCTAGTCCACTCGTTCGCCTCTTCAACCAAGTTCATCTGTATGTATTTACACAGATGATCCACTCGATTTGTATACCACAGCGCCCCCCCCTCCGGTGGGTGACCGAAATCCATGTGCTTGGATAATTCTTGCTCCGTAGCATTTAGTGTTCCACTAGATAGCTCCAAATCAAAGTGCGCGCGGTCACATAGGAACTAGGTAACCTTTACCTACTTATTCGCATTCGGCAACATGCTGATCGATTCTTATTTCGTTCTGCAAGTAGCAGCAACAATCAATGTCAAGCACAATCTAATCAGTGCTCTCTCCCGCAACACCACCACAAAGAGAGAGAGATAGTATGCTTACATCGTGAATTAGAAGACAAGAGGATAACTGGTGTCGTTTTCTATATCTCGGTTGACCCAATCGGGGGTGTGATGAGCGTTCACGACAGTTGTATCGTTCCGCCTCGGAGAGGATCATTCTCTCTCTCCCGCACGCGCTAATAAGCAGCTTTGCCATTGCGTGGCTCGATATCGCTCGCATGTTACCGCATTGGGGTCCTACTTTGTTCATCATCGAGAAAAATTAAGCGTCAAATTACTCATTTACTTAAACGAAACCAGTTCCTCGCATTAATTTGTATTTTGAACGCATATTGGAGAAGGAAATTACTTGCGTTACCACAAACCAATTGCTCTTGAACAAGAGTTTATTGCGTTTATTTTACATGTAGCCATTTAATTGAATAATTTAATTAATTCACGCACTGCAAACTGATTCTTACAGAAACGAAAGCCTAATCTGGTATATTTTGAGCATATAGGTAACTTGTCAAACGATGAATTGTGCATGAAGATGGAGTCCGAACGATGCTCAGTCCGACCCGATACGCCTCGTCGCCTAACCAAGGTGGTTATTGTCACAAGCAGGCTGTCCTGGAGTTGTGTCTCTTTGAAATGAGAATTTTCCAGCTCTACCCTGGATAAATAAATAATCTACTTTGGGTGTTCAATTTTCACACTCATTTTAGTTAAAACATCCTCTCCTCGAGAAAGCAGTAAGGAGAGCCTCCGAAGTGTGTTTTAGTAGACTCATTTCACTGGGGAACAGATTCAAGGCCTCATCTCACTTATGTCCGGTAAAAGTCATGCTTTCAATTTGGACCCTCGAATTTCCACGAATATCAACTGAATTTAGAGCACCTCAAGATTTAAGATCAATCCGACAGAACCATCTCAGCAACTAGAGTTCACACAATTCGTTCGCAATTGATTTTTTCGTGCGGCAAACTTTATCTTCATGACGATCGTAGCCTAACCGGTTTTCGGTGCATTTCACGTTTCAACCTTAACCTATCCCCTCACAGTCTACTCTTCGTTCGCTCACTCATTTCCGATTTTACTCATACGGCTATACTGTATGTGACACGCTGATGGAAGACCGAAAAAAATGTGGAGTATCATGTTTGTATTAGCCCAGGCACCGGCATTGTTGATGGTGTTGGGCGTCGTTGCCACTCCTAGGGAGGTCGTTCACTTTCCGCTATTCGAATGCATTTATAAGCGATGGAAAGTTCACAGTTCGAGTCCTGGAAAGGATACGGAATGTTCCCACAGCTGACGAGTCCCAAACAAAGAACCATCTCCCCAGCGCTCTTTAACGATCATCACAAATATTTTCATGACCGAAAACACGATCTTTTAGCTCTCTCTTCCAATACCGTATTCTGTTTGATTAACGCGGGTGCACACACACAGATGCGCTCTCGCTATGCATATCACCTCATTACTACGTGTGTTTTTGTGTTTCAATCCGCCTCACCCGTGAAGTTCTTCATCCTTATTTGTCTCAAATGAATTGCCCAAATGGCTTCTTCCCGACTGTACTTTCTGCTTTCTTTTACAGATCAGAAATTCGAGCGGCCTTGAACTTGCAAACCAAGGAGCAATTCGAGACATACGCAATGCAGCAATATCCATCTGATCCAGATAAAGTGAGTTGAGTTTGATGGCTTTCATCTACAATCCCTTGGGTCGTCTGAGTTGTTTTGTGGAACGATTTCTCCGTCAGGCTTTAGCATCTCGTCTTCATACTTTGGGAGTCATAGTTAGAATTTTTTGTGACTACCTGCCAGTACCAAGTCGGTTTACTGGACATCACGGATGGTAGTTTTTAAATACGCGAAGTCCCTGCATATGGAGGAACAAATCGCGACTGCGTCGTCAAATTCCTTGGATTAATCGTAGACCTAGGTGTTTCACGTCTGACTGTATCTTGTCCGTCTTTGTTCTAAGTTGTCTCACAGCTATTAAATGAGGGATCATGAGAGCGCAGCTCAAAATGGCCTCCACAATATGATTCGATCTTTCTATTCAAGGGATACCTCCAGAGTGATGTTGCACTGNTCTGAGCTTCTGTCAACCTGATTTAGCCTGTTTATCGATCGATTAGCCGGGTCAAGGCTAAATGATCACTGAAAAGCAGCTTCTCAGGACCGCGGATGAGAGCTGAGTGGTCGGTTAAGGTAACAAATTGAAGGGCTGTGCCAAGGGGACACGACTGTGCTCAAAATATGGATCATCCTATTGTTTGCAGTGATTAACTTTCACCATCTCCCTGGTTTGTACGCTCAACTATCGGGGGAACCGTTCATTTTCTGATCTACTTTTTTGGGTTAATAGTTTTTCTTTTGCAAAATAACCGAATAGTAAGTTTTTGGTTTCCGAACGAATCTATGCAAAATCCCTTACGGCCGGTTTTGCTGAATTAGTGCGATTGGTTTCCATGCCACTTCATCTTCACAAGATAATATCAATGTATCTGTGATTCACTCATAAGCGTTTTGTGGTCTTGCATCAGATTCGTCGAATTCGGATACCTCCCCACGCACACAGTCATTATTACGACCTATCTTCATTGTTCCATCTTTTGGTCCATGCACGACAATTTGTCTCATTGTACCGTAGATGGTAGCCACTATCAGACAACGGCAACCGGGTGGGCTTATCGATTGATTTTGCGCAGATTATACAAGCGAAACCTCACAGGTATACATAAAATGACTCATGGGGACTTTAACCGTTTGAGTGTGTACTACCTGGAGTATTAATTGTGATGTATTCGGGTCATATATGCACGCGTTCGCACCTGTACAACCCTCTGTGCGTGTCCTTGTGTGTGTGTGTGTTCGCGTTACAGAGACACGGAGACGAGGTCCCAAGCCGGGCAATGTGTCGTGAAGTCGCGCAAGAGTGCAAAACAGCGAGATAGTTTGACGTGCTTCGTACTGTCTGTCCAGTAAATGATACCGTTTAAATATCTGCAGCATTTGCAAAACGTAAACTATCAGACAACGATTGCTGTCCGTCTGAAAGCAAATAAAAAATTGTCTTTTTACTTCCTTTTTTATTTATTTATTGACCATACAAATGTACAGTCAACTTTCAGAAAGGGAGCTGCGACCATACAAAGACTGCCTGGGACAGAATATCCTCCCCATCTGTCGGTCCGACTAAGGTTCAGTTCAGTTCATTGCTACCTGTCGACAGTGTTTTTAAATGACATCCACGATCCGGAAGCATTTCTGGGAGATTGCATCCCTCATGACATTCTTTATCAGTAAGAGGATAATCCCACGTCACTATGAAATACAAGTTACTACCGCTGCCAACAGTACCAACTTATTCAACGCAGCGAATGTTCTGCCTTCGGTACTAGATCGATTCGAGTCCAATCTGTAAGGTTACGAGTCCCGTGCGTGAACACTGAACCAATCAGACTAATCTACCTAGTTAGTTTCATAGTCCTCAACCATATAGCATTTACTGATGCATTCATTGGTTAACCGATCTGTTTGTGAGAAATTCGTTTGGTGCTCCTCTCTTTCGATCTGTTCAGGCACATTTCTTTTTCACACTGTGTGCCAAACAAATCAAGGTACAATAATCTTCATGAAAAAATAAACGTTCCATGAATTGCTTGTGGGCCGAATAATGCCTGGTTGCCCAGGTCAATGCAGGTGAATTTTTTTGGGAATCCACAACCGGAGTCTTTGGTTAGCCAAAGTCTGATTCGCAAGGCAGCGGGGCGGAGCGCGAAAACCGCAGTTCATTGGGGGCCGGTGTGCAGTTCATCGGATCATACGTCCTCCAGACGGGATCAAACGTCCAAGGTGCCCCATACACCTCGAATCAGGGTTTTTGGCCAACTCTCCTAGGTGAACTGCCAGTGGTTCACCGACCCGGTTATATCCCCGGATGTCGGCTTTTCGTCCTCTCACTTTGGTGGGAAAACACCGCCACGAAAAGGCAGTGAATAGGGCTACCCCGGCAGAAGCTGTTTGAGACGCATGGTCTAATAGGAGCATTTCGTGGGGTGTAAGGGATGGGTGACCAGCCGCAACTCTAGACACCCACCTCTGACCATACTGAGGCTTTTGGAGGCGTTCAGACTCATTCTCTATGTAAAACGGCATTGTGAAGCCTGAGTTGCATATAATTCAAATAGTATACCTGAACCGCACCAAGACTCAAAACATTAATATAATCCATTGAATATTCCCATCGTGATATTAAGAACACACTGTAGGAAATAAAGCTTTTTTTCGATAACTCCCCCTAATACAATGATATATAGGGTTCGAAATTCTCAAACTGGTGTAATGGTCTGATGTGATGAGTATGATTGCTTGATTCTGATCTTGTGATGTGTGGTTTGGAATTGGAAGGGCAGAGATCGCTGTTGTTGTTGTGATTTGGAAATGTTTACTGTCGCTGGTTAGAGTGAGCTGTTCCGTTTCCGGTCTATCCAGTGAACATTCCCAAACCAAACAACCACAAAAAGCTTTGTCCTTTCATTTCCGAACCACCAGATCACAATCAACCAACCATATTCATCACGTCAGACTATTACAAAAGTCTGACAATTTTCAACCGCATATATCACTGTATTTAGCCGAGTAGGAAGTTATTGAAATCGAG